ACGGGTATCTCCTAGTTGCTGCCTTGCTTGGCTAAATGCGCTCTCTGATGCGACTGTTAAAATCGGCACATTTAGCACATCTCGAGCCATGGCCGAAAGAACAGGAAATTGATTTGAGTTGCTCCTCCACCAACCCAATGGTAGAAATTCCTTTGTGCGGGGCTCGCTGACTTTTGCAAGTAGAATTGAAGTTCATTGATATTCTTGCTACTGGTTTGTTGATACTTCCCTATTGTAGACCAAATCAAATAATCTTCAACACCATCATTATCATCCAAAGTACTGGTCCCAGATGTTGAAACTGAACTTGAAGGAATATTTGCATCTACAACAGAAGAAGCATCAACAATGTTAGCATAATAATTGTATAATATTTCTAAATATTTGTGTAGATAAGAAATACAAGTGTCAATATCAGGAGTTTTAGTTGGTCCATTAAAAAAAAAACGTTAATAAACGGGCTGAACCGGGCTGTAGCCTGTTAACAACCCGTTAACGGGCTGAGCCGGGTTGTAGCCCGTTAACAACCCATTAATGGGTTAACGGGCTTAGTGGGTTCCGATGCACCGGTATCAAAAAATTATTCGATTGAAACCCGCTCCCTTCCCAACCCGTCCCCCACGCTACAGTATCAGGCTGAACCGGGCTGTAAACGGGTCAGCCCGGCCCGATTAACAGGTATAGTTATACCCCTTCGGCTTTCTACTTGCTTTCTCAGTCCGTGTTTACCTGTTAATCTTGTGTTATGAGCTTCTGCCAAGCTTTTAAAATTCATATTAATTTAGATTGTGGACAGGTTCAATAACAATGATGTATAGTCGATGCAAATTGAATATTTTCTCAAGGAAGCAAAAGATGTGACGGCCAAGGAAATTTGCCCCTTTCTCTGTTAATCATGTCTGAAGCACTATTCTGCCACATTGAATTTGTAATACTGTCACTCCTACTATTGCTCTAACATGCTTTCTGGTGAAGTTTTCTTAGTAATGAGTCAATGCCATTTAATATAGCCTTTTGTTGTGGGTTATCCACGACCGATAGTTTAGATTCCTGCTTTCTATTTACTGGACTTGTGAAGATGAGCATCTTGTTCCTTATTCTTCATTTAAAAAAGGCAAGGAACATTAAAACGTGAAGGTGGCTATGGCATAAGTTGTTAGAAGGAGTCTAAAATACATATACATATACATATAGTATACGTCCTAATTACCCTATTTCCTTTACGGGAAAGAAGAACATTAAGGAACCCACTAATATTGGATAAATTACAAATATTGTTAATAATTCGTAGTAAAGAGAAGATACACTTGACCATAAAAACTTTTGCTCAAAATATTTTGATTTTTGTGCACAGTTTTGTCGGTAAAAGAAATTAAATGGATTCAAGTAGTGTATACAGTTGCATTTGACAAATTAATCTCACTGAGCTTGCAGAATCTTGATGATCATAAAGAGCAGGAACTTTCTGGGAAATGCTTTGTATTTTCCTTAGGGATTAAGTTATTAACAGCATGCTACACTTGTACTTTTTTATATAAGCAAGAATAAAGTTGCTTTTGTGGACCGCTTGTTCCACCCTTCATTTTACACGTTAAATTGCTAACCATTCCCTCCAATCTTCATTTATACTATGTTACGGAATAAAATCCCTTGGGTGGATTAGTACAAGAGAAAGAGAGCAAATTTGATATTTCATCTGTATATGTAACGGAATAAAGTAGTACCTTTTTCTTTTGATCAAGAGCATATATAAAATGGAACTTATTCCTTCGGCCTTTATGGAATAGGGAACGTCGAATGACAGCAACTAGTTGTACTAGCTTGGGCGTAACTTGACATCAGACTTCGATCAATTCCTTTGTACTTCGATCCAATTAATTAATCGATCTAGAAGAAAAATCAGTTCCCCCTCTCCGGTATATTTTACTGTGGGCAAATGGAGATGCAGTCCGGTTCGAGCATATCCTCTCCATATCTCGCCAGATTCTTCGATTGCATACCTATCAGCAGTAGGAGATCCTGTTCCCACTCGAGAGCTTGTAGTTGTGGATATGGAAGATCTCTAAGGTGGAGTTGATCCCACGGACGCAGAGAGTGTCAGAGCCACGATCGATTAGGTGAAAGGGTTCTGCAAAGTTTGAAGTCATGGAAAATACCTTAATATTTTTGGATTCACTGATCAAGACAAGGTTCCAGATATGCTAATGTGCTCAGCCATTAGGGGTGTACATAGGTCGGGTTGGTTCGGATTTTATAATTATCAAACCAAACCAATTGTATCGGGTTTTTAAATCTATAGACCAAACCAAACCAACAAAAGTCGGGTTTTTCTATATCGTTTTTTCTCGGGTTTCTCGGATTTTTCGGGATTTTTTCCGATAAACTTATGCTCCAAATATTTCTTTAGTCCTAAATATGATTTTACCAATACCAACCATGTTTTATTTTTAGCATTGACCTCAACTATGCTAGTCAATAGGTTGTATGGTTCCAATTTCAGTTCAAGAAAACTAATGAAAACTTTAATCAATCATCCCTCCTCTTCCAAAGATAATCTTTTTAAAGGAATATATAGAGAAGTCCTTTATAGAATATTTGCACATCCACAAGATCTGGTACAGACGGCGATCAACAAACTCCTCAAATTTCCTTACTTTCTCATGTTTAATAGTGTCCATTGCAATCGCATCCGGAGACAGTGAAATAGTCACAATTTAGTGGAGAAGAGGCAAAATTGTTTGTGTTTTAGAACTAGTTTAGGACTAGTCTAGTTTTGCTTTAGGACTAGTTTTTGGTTTGGGCTCAATTATTTTTTTATGGGCCAGAGAAAAAAAATAATATTTACATGGGCTATAAAACACACTTAAAATATTATGCTAAATACAGAAATTATAAAAAATTAAGAAATATTTATAACTTACATTCTAATAAATATTTTTATCTATCTAATATATAAAATATGTATACATGTAATGTCGGGTTAGTTTGGTTTCGGTTTGACATTTTTTAGTTAATACCAAACCAAACTTATTATGATCGCGTTTTATTTTTCAATGCCAAACCAAACCACTAGTCGGATTTTTTTTCCGGGTTGACTCGGATTATCGGGTTGGTGCGAATTATCGGTTTGGTTTGTACACCCTATCAGCCACTATATATACGAATTTTCACTTTCCAAAAAGAGCGATGGAAAAGGCAAAGCCAGTTTCATCTCCTTGCTTCTGTAGCGGCATCTTCTTCTAAATCAGCACATTGCCAATTGAATCTCAACGATATGGAAATGAAGGGACAATCTTAACTGTGAATCAACCAAAAAACAATTAGAAATGTCTTTACTTTTGGTGAAGTGGAACAGCTCATGTTCACATTTTGATAAAACACACATGAATATGTTCCAGCTTATATATAATCATTGATCAATTCACATTCTTTCAAGAACTAGTCCAATTGAAGTGACTTTGTCTCCTAGTGCTAATTACTTACTGTTTGCTAACTTTATTTAGTGAGCAGAGCTAGTTTATTGAACAGAGATAATGTCTATGGCATGTCAAAAATGTCGACTGCCATTGACACTGCCACCGTATAGTCAACGACTTCGTTGTGAGTGTAGCAATTTGATTCAACTAGGCAATAGTGATAGGTCATTGCAGGTCCAAGAGCGCGGTAGGATGAGTTCTAGAATGAGAAGATTTCGGGATAAAATTAGGAGAAATAGATCAAGAACGAAGAGTCTATCTCCTTCTCCGAGTGTTAGTCCTCGTTTACCTCTTATTTTTACAAAGCCACCACCAAGTGGGAAGCGCGCATTCCTTTGTGGAGTGACTTACAAGAAGGAGAAGTTCAGGCTCAGAGGAACATCGCATGATGTAAACAGCATGAGGGATTTGTTGGTCCAAAAATTTAACTTTTCAGATGAATCCATTCTCATTCTAGCAGGTATTTTAGTGAATCTATTGATAATGAGTAAGAAACAGTTTTGTATCTTACTTTTGATTTTGAATGGAAACAACATGCAGAAGAAGAGGCCTATAATCCTCCAACCAGGAGAAACATTTTAGACGCTTTCAAGTGGCTGATGGCAGACCTTAAATCAGGTGACTCGTTGGTGTTCTACTTCTCAGGACATGGCTTACGACAACCTGATTTTAGCGACGATGAAACAGATGGTTTTGATGAAACAATATGTCCTCTTGACTTTAGGACTAAAGGCATGATCATTGATAATGCCATCAATGATATTCTTGTTAAGCCACTAATTTCTGGTGTTACACTTCATGCTATCATCGACTCTTGTCATAGTGGAACTGTTCTCGACTTACCTTGGGTCTACAAAGAGTATGTTCTTACCTTCCCAAAGTTACCTGCTTTATTTCTCAACTAACTAAATCTATTTGTTATCTCTAGTTGGAGCATCTTTTAGGAGACCTAATTCTTTTACACTATCACTATATAAAAGTTAAACTCATATATGTATTGCCTGAACCTCTAGCCCATAAGTCCATAACATAAGACACCTTACAACAACAACAACAACAAACGTAGTGTAATCTCATAAGTGGTAGTGTGTATACGCAGACCTTACCCTATCTTGTGAAGGTAGAGGCTGTTTCCGATAGATCCTCGGTTCAAGGAATATAAGACACCTTATGTATCCATTTTAATCCGCTAATAACGTTACTGTGTGATATGTTAGTAGAATTACTTTTCACAATGCAAAGAAATTATCAACAACTACTCCATATTAAGAAAAATCAAATCTCAGCAGCTTTTTCACCAGGAAATAGTCTGTCCGGTCAACGGCTTTAGATTTGTATGTCTGTGTATTCAAATCACATAAGCATACATTTTCCCATTTTTCTAGCTATGATTTGTTATGCGCTTTGCTACCATTTTCTTGGGAATGCGTTTAAACTATAATCTTCCACTAATTTGATAATACAAATGGGAGAAATTAATGGTATGCATTGCCAGATCAATTACAAAGCTCAGATGAACTAATATTTCAGCAATATTCTGATAATCAGTAGCATGTTATTTGGAGGCGCTGTCTATATCAGTTATTTGACTCTTAACAGGAATGGATGGGCTGATAACAGACCCCCATCCGGCGCTAATAAGAGCACGAGTGGTGGAAGGGCTATCAGTTTGAGTGCTTGCAAGGATAATCAACTAGCTGCAGATACCTCTGTAATATTTGTTTCCATCTCTTTATATGATTGATCTATATACCCTATCCTCAACTACCATAATATGAATATTATGGCCCCAGATTCTACATATTGAGACAGTCGATATATCTGTAAACACCCTTTCCCTTCATGTATGCAGGCTTTCTCTGCTGAAAAAACTATGACTGGTGCCATGACTTGCACATTTATTAGAGCTCTCAGGGAAAATCCAGATATAACATACCAAGGGTTACTTGATTATATGCACAAGGCCATCGAAAAGGTCAACAACGCTAGATGTCCGCTGCTGAAGGTATTCCAACGCAAGATAGACCAGGTATCTCATCTCCTTGCCTGAGATGTTCCATCTCAAAGTATCCTGCATCAATAAGCATTAATTATTTGTAAGGTTTATGGCATATTTTGCTTATATCTATTTTTCTGATATGATATTTATTGATAATAACCTTGCAGGAACCAGTGTTATCATCTTCTGAAAAATTTTACACTAATTCAAAGTTCAAGCTCTAATTCTGCAGCAGAAAGATGAATGCCAAAGGAGGCTGCTGCTTGTTTCATACTTGTCTTTTATATTACTTCCATTATTTTTAGCCTTCCTATCTTTTTTGAAAAGGCAATCCAACGATTTGTATCAAATCTCTCTTTGGCATTTTTCTGTGTTGATTCTCCATATTATTTGTGACTCTATCTCTGAGTTAATAAATGATAGTACTAGTTTTCAAATAAAGAATTGCATTCTGATGGCGCCCTTTCCAATTAATATCATGAGCTATTTTCTATCAGATCAGCATGTTGAAATTCCTGTTTCTAAGCTTTTGCCTATCAGTATATGTAATGGTTGATAAATTGGTAAGCTATAACTGGATTCGCACCTACACTTTTACCCATTTTGCTACTTCTACAGCTGCTATGTAAAATACAACTATAATTTGGATAATAATAAAGAAAATAAAACGTTATCTTCATTTGTAAAACACGTCCAAGCAACTACGTAAGTCAATAATTTGTTCTCTCATTCTGCCATCCACTAGCTCCTCAATCTCTTCTGCTTGTAATCCATACATACTAGTACTTTTTTTCTTTTCTTTTAAGTTTTAACATGCATATTGTATACGGTCAAAATCGAGTCTGCCCTTTGTATGACTAATCGAGATTGGAATATGATGGTCCAAGGTTAATCATTGTAATATCGAGCCATGATACGAAGTTAGGTTGTCGAGCTCGAGCCCCAGAGACCGATCAATATCGAGATCGAGTCAAGATCGAGCTCGAGACCCAAAGACCGATCAATACCGAGACCGGCCAAGATCGAGATCGAATCAAGATCGAGCTCGAGACCCAGAGAACGGTCAAGGTTGAGATCGGCCAGGATCGAGATCGAGCCAAGAAACAAAAAAGCTGTTATAGCCGCATTTGGGGAGAGAATCTCGGCGGAAATCACGGCTTGAATCAAGGAAAAGCTAGTTAATTAATCTATCATGGAATACCCACTATGTATTTTTAATTATATCCAAAATGAGATTCTCCCACTATATTAAGAGTGGTTATCAATTGTAATGGGGAGGAGGGGATTCATTCACATATTCATTCTGAGATATACAGAAAAGAGAGAAAATATTAACTTCTTTGGCTTTTGATATTTAGTCATATTATTTTCTATCAATCGTTCTTCACTCAATTTGGACGTGATAAAACTTGAAGGCTTAATCTAACTAGTTCATTCGGTTTGCATTCATTTCTTTTATAACTAATTTCGATATTTATTTACATATTTTTTCTCATTGTATCAATTTATATCACGTATCTTTAGAACTACGTATAAATTCAACTCTATCTGTTTTTGGGGTAAACAATTTGGCGCTCACCGCGGGGCTAAGAATAATAGTGGTTATTTGATACGAATCTCTGTAAAACGCACTATTTTACACTTGCTCTTGGAAATATCTTCGATTTCAGGTTAAAAAAGACGAACTCTCAATTAATGGCCCTACCTATCGACAACGAAGCTGGCCTTCAAGATGAGAATAACAACCTGACGTCCAGGGATGAAAGGCCACTCGTTGACCCTGTTGGAACTCGGGCTGTAGATCCAATAGACGTTAATTCACATGTGGCCATTGAAGCAAACCAACATTCCGACCCCGAAAACATCATTCATGGTGGTACTCGATATGCAGTTCGAAATACCCAAAATGTTGGAGACGACGGGATCAGCCTGCGTATTATTTTCGAAATGTTGCAAGCTCAACAGGTAGCGATAGTTCAGTTGCAGAGCCAAACCCAGGCACCGAGAAGGCCCAAGCCCGGTCCACCCCGAGAAGTCACCCACAGAATGAGGCCAGCTGTAGTAAGGTCAAATGAACAAGAATCGGGGGACTAACCCCAAAATTATAAAGATGCTCGAGGAATTGAGAAAACGGATAGAGTCAGGAGAAATGAGGAGAAATGAGGATTGAAGCAAACGACAAAAAAATAGAAACTTATAATTCCAAGGTTGATCAGATCCTGGGGGCACCACCAATATTGAAGGGTTTGGATTCCAAAAAGTTCGTACAAAATCCCTTCCCCCTAGCGCAACTCCCAAACCGATCCCCAAGAAGTTTCGCATGCCCGAAATTCCTAAATATAATAGAACGACTAACCCCAACAAACATGTCACCTCTTACACATGTGCTATTAAAGGGAACAAACTGGAGGATGACGAGATCGAATCCGTATTATTAAAGAAATTCTGGAAAACCCTGTCAAAGGGAGCAATGATATGGTATCATATTTTATCGCCTAACTCTATCGATTTTTTTGCCATGCTTGTAGATTCTTTTGTAAAAGTACACACCGGAGCCACAAAGGTCGAGACCAGGAAGTCGGACCTTTTCAAGGTAAGGCAAAAAGATAACGAGATGCTAAGAGAGTTCGTATCTCGTTTCCAAATGGAACAAATGGATCTACCACCGGTCACGGACGATTGGGCCGTTCAAGCTTTCACTCAAGGACTGAACGAACGAAGCTCAATGGCTTCACGGCAGTTGAAACAGAACTTGATTGAGTACCCGACTGTTACCTGGGCCGATGTACACAATCGATATCAATCAAAGATTAGAGTCAAAGACGACCAGTTGGGTTCTGGGTCCGTTATTAAAAGGGACATCGACCGAGAACTGAGGTTGAACATGGACCGATACCGGCCGTATAACGGAGATCGTAGGGGTAGTGAACCAGAACGCAACTCAGTACGAGGCGAAAGGAGAAGTGATCGAGGCCAATGGTCTCGAGGGCTGATGAACAAGAATGGTTTCGACAGGCATACCGGACCTAAGGAAGCACCGCGGTTATCAGAGTATAACTTCAACATTGATGCATCCGTCATCGTGTCGGATATCAGACACATGAAATATACTAAATGTCCTCGACCTCTGCAGTCCGATCCAGCCCAAAGAAATCCCAATCAAATGTGCAAGTATCATGGCACCCATGTCCATAGAACGGAAGATTGCAGGCAGTTGAGATAGGAGGTAGCTCGGTTATTCAATGAAGGGCACCTTCGAGAGTTTTTAAGTGACCGAGCCAAGAATCATTTTAAAAACAGAGAGTTCAATAGACAAAACGAACAAGAAGATCCACAACACATTATCCACATGATCATCAGAGGGATTGATGTCCTCCAGGGGCCAGTGCTTAAATGCACTAAGATGTTGATTGTAAGAGAGAAGTGATCTCGAGCTCAGGATTACATACCTAAAGGAACCTTGTCCTTTAATGACTAAGACGCATAAAGAATCATGCAACCTTATAACGATGCAATGGTAATATCTGTACTTATGAATAAAACTCAAGTTAAGCGTGTGCTAATTGATCAAGGTATTTCGGCCAACATCATTCGATCGAGGGTCGTAGAGCAACTCGGTCTACAGGACCAGGTCGTGCCCGCAACCCTGGTACTAAACGGATTCAATATGGCATGTGAAACTACTAAGGGCGAGATAATTCTGACAGTAAATGTGGCCGGAACCATCCAAGAAACAAAGTTCCACGTGATTGAGGGCGACATGAGGTATAACGCCCTGTTCGGGAGGCCGTGGATCCACAACATGAGAGCAGTACCCTCGACCCTTAACCAGGTTCTAAAATTCCCAACATCAGAGGGAATCAAAAAAATCTACGGAGAGCAACCAGACGCAAAGGAAATGTTTTTCGTTGATGAAGTAATTCCGATATCAACACTCTCATCGACAAAGGGATCAAATTCAAAGGAAAAATGAGATACCAAATAGTAATCACAAACATCGGCCTTGACCCAACTAGGGAAGCAGAAAACTAACGGAGATGATGATTATGGGATCCCACTATCCTTCATGGTCCCCTATGATTCCGACGCTACCAAATCAACGGTCGGAGAAGTGGAGCAAATTACATTAATCGAACATCTTCCCGAATGAAAGGTATCCCTGGGCACAGGGTTAAGCCCCGAGCTCAGGAAAAAGGTTATTCAATTTCTTATAGCTAACATAGACTGTTTCGCTTGGTCCCATCTTGACATGACAGGGATCCCACCGGAAATCACCACTCAGAGACTAAGCTTGGATCCGAAATTCAATCCGGTAAACCAAAAAAGAAGGCCTCAGTACGAAGTCAAACATGCCTTCATCAAGGACGAGGTAACCAAACTTCTCAAAATAGGATCCATTCGAGAAGTTAAGTACCCCGAATGGTTAGCAAACGTGGTGGTAGTCCCTAAGAAGGGAAACAAACTTAGAATGTGTATAGATTATAAAGACCTGAATAAAGCATGCCCCAAAGACTCTTTTCCTTTGCCTAATATCGATCGTATGATCGATGTCATGGACGGCCATGAGGCTCTCAATTTTCTCGATGCCTACTCCGGGTACAACCAGATATAGATGAACTCGGAGGATCAGGAAAAGACCTCGTTTATCACTAAGTACGGTACCTACTGTTATAATGTAATGCCATTCGGTCTAAAAAATGCTGGTGCAACTTATCAATGCCTACTAAACCGAATGTTCGAAGAACAAATAAGAAAATCAATGGAAGTTTATATTGATGACATGTTAGTTAAGTCCCTGCGAGCAGAGGACCATTTAAAGCATTTGTAGGAAACTTTCGATATACTGAGGGAGTACAATATGAAGCTCAACCCCGAAAAGTGTGCATTCGGGGTTGGCTTGGGCAAGTTTCTTGGTTTCATGGTGTCCAATCGGGGAATCGAGATCAACCTCGATAAAATTAAAGCTATCGAGGATATCACGATAGTGGATAATGTAAAGGCCGTGCAGAGGCTAACGAGATGAATAGCCGCCCTAGGACGATTCATTTCGAGATCCTTAGATAGGAGCCACCGATTTTTCTCACTACTTAAGAAGAAGAGCAACTTTGCATGGACTCCGGAATGCCAGTAGGCCTTGGAGGAACTAAAGCGGTATTTATGGAGCTCGCCGCTGCTTCATACCCCGAAAGTGAACGAACAACTTTACCTGTACTTAGTTGTCTCGGAGATAGCGGTAAGTGGAGTCCTGGTTCGAGAAGAACAAGGTACACAATTCCCTATTTATTATGTCAGTCGGACCTTGGGTGAGGTCGAAACTAGATATCCACACTTAGAAAAATTAGCGCTTGCTTTAATAAGCGCCTCTAGGAAACTAAAACCATATTTCCAATGTCATTCGATATGTGTTGTAACAACTTAACCTCTTCGAAATATTTTACACA